TTATCTTGTTAAAGGACAATAACTTGTGTATATGTGTATGGATCTCTATGAAATTGTACCACAAGGTTCCATACCTCAAAAGGAAAGTTGGGATTGATTTAAAGGGTTATGGCTCATACAGTTTAGGAAAAGGGGCCAAAACAATACATTCCTTAATACTTTGTATAAATTGCTTATTTCTCGACCAATTTCAATGGGTTTTATTTCAAAGCCTTGAATTCTTTAAGTTCTTAGATATGCTGAATCTAACCGTGTATTAAGATTTTGGATTTTTTGACCCCGTTTTTAAATTGGTCCACATAGAGGTCCAAAGGGTTCAAAATTTAATCTTGTTTGATTTCATAAAAAACATGAATTATTTGTGTTCTTTCATATGGTGAATCTATCGTGTATTTAGATTTTAATTTTGGGGCCCGTTTTCAAATTAGTCCACATTTAGGTCCTAAGGATAAAACAATTAAACTTGTTTGATTTCAACAAAAAATGAACACTTGGGGTTCTTTGATATGCTGAATCTAACCGTGTATTGAGATTTTGGATATTGGGCCCCGTTATCAAATTGGTCCACATTGAGGTCCAAAGGGTAAAAAAATTAAACTTTGTTTGATTTCAACAAAAAATGAATTCTTTGGGTTCTTTGATATGCTGAATCTAACCATGTATTTAGATTATTGATTTTGGGCCCAGTTTTCTAGTTGGTACAAATCCGGGTCCAAAATTGAACTTTGTTTAATTTCACCAAAAATTGAATATATAGGGTTCTTTGATATGCTGAATCTAACCGTGTATTTAAATTTTTGATTTCGGGCCCAATTTTATAGATGGTCCAAATCGGGGTCTAAAATTGAAATTTGTTTGATTTCACCAAAAATTGAATATATGGGGTTCTTTGATATGCTGAATCTAACCGAGTTTTAAAATTTTTGGATATTGGGCCCTGTTATCAAATTGGTCCACATTGAGGTCAAAAGGGTCCAAAATTTACTTTGTTTGATTTAATTAAAAAATTGAATTCTTGGTGTTTTTTTATATGCTGAATCTAACCATGTATTACGATTTTTGATTTTGGGTCCTGTTTTCAGATTGATCCACATTAAGGTCCGAAGGGTCCAAAATTAAACTTTGTTTGATTTCACCAAAAAATTAATATATGGGGTTCTTTGAAATGCTGAATCAAACCGTGTATTGAGATTTTGGATATTGGGCCCCGTTATCAAATTGGTCCACATTGAGGTCCAAAGGGTAAAAAAATTGAAGTTTATTTGATTTCAATTAAAATTGAATTCTTGGGGTTCTTTGATATGCCGAATCTTACCGTGTATTTAGATTTTTGATTTTGGGCCCGGTTTTCAAATTGATATACATTGAGGTCCAAAGGGTCCAAAATTAAACTTTTTTTTTGTTTGATTTCACCAAAATTGAATTCTTGGGGTTCTTTGACATGCTGAATCTAACCATGTATTTATATTTTGGGTAGTAGACCATACATAATAGGTAAATGTCCAATTTTAAGTTCATACACCACATTCATTCTGTGTCAGTAACCTATGATATGTTAAATATTTAATCACAATCCAAATTTAGAGCTCTATTGCACAATTGATAGAAATTGAAAGAAGATTCATAGTTAAAACTAGATATAACATAAATTCTATTTTTAGAGAATAAATTGTGTGTAAATATAGTTTGAAATTTACTGTACATTATTAGATATTTTGATAATGATGAAAAGTAGGTTTTATAGATATTTAAAGACATTGTAGTAATGATGAATGATATATATTTTGGAAATTGTTTTTTTTTCCATGTTTATGCCCTTGACCGTTCGTCCTTCCGTCTTTCCGTCCTTCCGTCCGTCCAATTTGAGCGGGGCATTCGTGTCCTAAAAATACATGTTTTTATTTTTGTAAATGTTTTGAAGGACTTCATGGTAGGTTTGTTTGTTATTCTGTATAAAGTAATTTTCAGAATGCTATATTATTTTTGATGAAGTGAACCCTTTAAAAACTTAGCTAATATTGTACATTCATACATAAATAAATTCAATTCTTGATGTTATGTACTTGGATATACTGAATTGAACCGTGTATTTGGATTTTGGATATTGGACCATAATAGGTAAAAGTCCAATTTCAAATTTTTCAGTTCGACCACATTTATTCTGTGTCAGAAACCTATGCTGTGTCAAACATTTAATCACAATTCAAATTCAAAGCTGTATCAAGCTTGAATGTAGTGTCCATATCTGACCCATCTATTCAGGGTTCTACCTCTTCGGTCGTATCAAGCTGCGTCCAGCGTAGCATTTTATTGTTTTTAGATACTAAGCTTTCAATTAAAACAGGTTGAATGATCAAAATGATTTTAAAAATTAGAATAGATATACTTTTTTAAGGGGAGACAACACTGTAAACCTTCTGGTTTTTGTTGTGAAAATTGAAAACTTATTTGAAGTTACTGTAGCTCTTTCAGGGGCAAGCGAATGCACAAGGACTCAGTACTTTCATTGTTTAGTATATGGATATGGATAGTAAAAATGCACATTTCTAGAAAACATAGAAATATTGATGCCAAAGTTAAATACGTTAATAATGTAATTCAAATAGACAGGAAATACGAAAATAAATTTGAAAAACATTGATTAACAAAATTTTATTCTGCTAATCGAGTCTCTGTGGGCGAATATACCCGGAGTCTTTTTCAATAGACCAGGTAAAAATCTATTAAATTCGAACAGTTTTGATGATCTGAAATATGCCTTTATCATGCCTACATGGGTATACACAAGTCATGACCTGATGTCAGGTATTTCATGTTGAGATAAGGATTTGTTTTCATTTTCTTTGGGTAGAACTTTTTATTATGTTAAAATTTCACTTTATTTTTATTTCATCATAAACGTGAAAAAATTCTGATTCCGGTGATGTATAGTCTTATTCAAGTATCTTATAAACAATACCACCACTTAACCATGATGAATTGGTTAACCAATACGATGTGTCGGTTTCTCAACTCACTAGATACATGTTTTCGCGGTTTTATATATTAAGATACCAGTATAGTCGTCTGATCTGTAATTTTACCGATTGTGTCATATTTCTGATTGTGACATTTTGACTGAGTGCGAATTCGCAATTCGGGTGATGCATGAATATCAGGATACGTTTACCCTGTCGACGCACCCGGTCTCGTTCCTTTTTGGAGGTTTTGTTTGTTACTTTTATTTGTCTCTTCCATATTGATTTATAAAGGCAACAGTAGTATACCGGTGTTCAAAAGTCATAAATCGATTGAGAGAAAACAAATCCAGGTCACAAACTAAAACCGAGGGAAACACATCAACTATAAGAGGAACACAAAAGAACAACAGGAATTGAACATAAATGATTTACGAGATTTGAACATCGCTAAACTACTGTCGCCTTAATTTACCATTTGTTTTGGCATATGCAGAAGCAGACAGTTTTAAAAAGGAAATTATAAATTGAGCCATTAGAAAAAATGCTCCATAAATGTCTTTTAACGGGCATGTCTGTACAACACCGTTACCTTAATTATCTGGACTAGACCAAATTAAAGACTACTAGATAAACGTTCAATATCTACCCATAAATGATTTTAAAACGATATTTTGTGTTGTCCACTATTTATTGTAAAAGAATGTTTTCATATTCAAGAAGATCCTTCAGAAGTAGTAATTCAACTTCATGAGAAATAAGTTTTAATTATTTTGAAATAATAAACTTTGATCTAATTTCTTCCAATGGTTTACATTTTAAAATAAAGTGCATGAGATCTTTAAGTTGTTTAAAACACAGAGAACACAACGAACTAATCATATGCCCATTACATTTTGCTCGATCAGCTTGAAGTGCATATGTTCCACACACTATTTTAGATTTGAAACATGCACTTTTGACTGCATATGGTTCTGGATTGTGAACGAATCCAACATTAAAGTCTTCAATATTATGCAATTTTAGCAACCATTGCTCATCAACTTCCTGTTCACCAAAATCGTGGAGTGAACAATACACATCAGTTCAACTTGTCAACCGTTATTAGTATAGGGACAGGTCAATTCGTAACCAGTATCATTAGTTATGAAACACAATAAGGATTGAAATAAATGTTTAGGCTTCTCCTCTAAGTCATTTTTTCAGTAAATTTGTATTTATAAGCCCCACCATTAAGTGACTGGGGCCTACATGTATAATGTTAACCACGTCCGTCATTACATCCTTTTGAAATCAAACAGTTGTTCCTTCTTTCTTCCTTATGTCTGTAAATATTTATCTGAGTTTTTTTTACATCAGTGCTAACATGATAAATTTACTTTTCATAGAATGTGAAAATCATTCAAAACAAAAAGGGTTTTCTACCCCCAGGCATAGATTGCCTTAGCTAGATTTGGCACAACTTATTGAAATGTTTGCTATTCAATCTATGGTAGACCGAATTTTCGAGGAAGAACGGCCTTTTGAGTATTAGATTTCATTTTTTTTTTGGAATGCCTACTGATACATTGATGTAACTGATGACTTACAGGTCGATTTTGCGTTTCGTTGCTGTTGACGGAATTTTATCGGAATTATGGTCCTTGGGCTTAGAAAATTTAATGCATTTGTATTTATCTGGACTTTTTTGCAGATGTGGTGTTGACTTTTTATACATTACTGTATAAAGATGACTTACAGATGCGGTTTCGTTTTGTTTCGGTTGACAGATTTTTCGCGATTAGGTTGCAGTCGGTGATATTCGTATCGTACCGACAAATCTAGTTTTTACAATGTTCAAATGCTCTTTGATAGAAAGACGTAATTTGTAAGTACCTCCAATATACCAAATGTTTCTCATATGTCTTTAATCAGATGTGTAATAACGGTATATAAAGTATGTGTCTCTACCTTAATATTTTAAAGCCTTTTTCAAGTTTTGTCCTACCGTGACTGGAAGGAATCTAATTGACTTGTTCACATTAAAGTTTAATCATGATCAGAATATTTTTTTCATTTATTATTAAATGTATATCAAAGAAGTCTACACACACAAGTTTATATGTTTAAAAGTAAATATCTATCAGAAATTACATATAAACCGACATAAACTTTTACATTAATATATTTTTACAACCTTTGAATCAACCTTACTTGTTTTTCAATGTAAGAAAGTAAATCTTCTCCACTTCTTGGAATATATGGCGTATTTTTGAAAACATAACGATAAAATTCTTCATTTTGAATTAACAAATTTTTGTCATCAATATCCTCTAATAAAACTAGTATGATAATTTGCCTTCCAGTCTCATAGCCTTTGTGAATTCCATATCGGAACTCTTGAACACAGAAACCATCTTGGAGATAATCCGGTGTTAAAAAACATACAATACAGTCACTTTGTCTTAGACCAGCTGTCAATCCTGGTACTTCTGGCTCACCAAATTCTACTTTATGTTTTCCAAAGCAGGAAATATCATTTTTCTCTAAATGTTCTTCTACTCTTGAAACGACTTGTGACGAGCGATCTGAATATGACAAATAAACAATGTTATCCACAGAATCGCCATCATGTTCAAGAACATCATATGGTTGTACATGTCGACTGAAAAAACTGATCAAGTGTTTTACTTTACGTTTATTATAGTAAATTATTGCAATCATTGATAGAAACAGGGTAAAGAGAACGGATCCTATCAAACTATAAAGTGTGTATTGCAGTGACTTACACGAATTACTCAGCTGAGAGAATAGCTTGCTTGCTCGAGAGAGAAAAACGTAAGATCCATTTTCAAACTTACATTTATAATTATGAAAATTTACGAAATGAATATAATTCTCATTAAACCACTTAAGTAAATTTGGATTCTGACAGTCGCATTTTATTTTGTTGTTTTCTAAATTAATTGTTAGATTATTAGTCCTAAATAACTTGCTGAGCATGTTGCGTTGTATGTCTGAGAATTCGAATATCGAATTGGTTTGGAAATCAATGAATTTTATTTTATATAGACCTTGCAAATGGAAATCCAGTGCTGTTAAAACATTGTCTTTCAAAATGAGTTGTTCAAGACTTCCTAAATTTGAAAATATAAACTTAGGAAGTTCTTTAATTTCATTGTGAGATAAATCAAGGTATTGTAAATTCACTTGAGAAGAAAATATTTTAAATAGTGTATCTTTTGCGATTGTTTTCCCGATATTGTTGTCGTTTAATAGTAAAACAGACACATTTTTCATATCGATAAAAGAATCGGGATGTATAAAACTCAACTTATTACTTGACAAGTTCAATAGTTTAAGCGAATGTAATCCTTTCCATTCTCCACCAAATGTTTCAAATCCGTTCGTTGACAAGTCCAGAGTTTCTAGACAGTTGTTATAAAAACTAAGGGATGGTATCACTGGATAATTTAATTTCATATGGCTTGCATATATGTGTCGTAATTTAGGCGGAAGCTTTAATGGTTCATCTTTCTTTTCGCTTACGATATTTTGAAGGAATAAACTGATTAATGGAGATCCTTCGCCTAGTGACAAATAACTCTGCAATTGGAAACTGCAATCAAACGTTTCTAGATTTTCGAGTTGATTAAGTTCTTTAATAAATTTGCCATTGGAAAATTTATTATCCCTGACAGATAAGAACTTCATCGTATTTGGAAGTGTATAAATCACATCTTTTTCTATTCTCGCAATATCATTTTTGTCTAAATAAAGTTTCTCCAAATTTGTGTTTTTCAATTCCGTAAACGCATCTTTATTGATAATAAGTTGATAATTTCTATGTATGTTCTCTAGGCTAAGAGTCTTTATATTTGTCTTTTTTAAATTTACTGTTGCGTTTTTCACTCCCGTCATTTCTAAATGACGATTGAAAGAAAGATTTAAGTCTTCAAGTTTTTCCAAATTGGAAAATGCTCCTGCATCAATTGAATTTATTTTACATAAGCTGAGATTTAATTTAATTAGATATGGACAATTTACGAAATGATTTTCACGTATTCTGTTAATGGTACAGTACCCATTTATCCCGGATAGTGATAAATTGCGCAAGTTTTTCAGCTGGGTAAATTCCTCATCAAAACTTCCATTATTTTGCCCATCAAGTTTCAAAGTAGTTAATTTTTTAAGATACAAAACACTAACGGGATATGAAGCATCTTCAAAATACACATCATTGTAAATTCCATACATTTCAAAAACTTGGACATTTTCAAGAAATCTGAATGCATTTTCATAGATTTGACCCATGTACATTCGGTTGAAGTTCAGTTTTAAGGTTTTCAAATTTAACATCCCTATAAACATTTCGCTAGACAGTTCTTCCAGATGGTTATGGGATAAGTCTAAATAATTTAATACGTGTAACCCATTGAACTGGCCATTTTCTAGTGCTGAAATATTATTATTGTTCATTAGAATTACTCTAAGGCCTTTGTATGATCGAATATCTGTTGGTACATGTGTTAGTCCTTCGTATGAACAGTCTACCCGATAAGTTCGATTATCTCTGTATGCACATGAACATTTTTCTGGACAGAGGTATACTGGATCCACTTTTATAATCAAAAGCAAAATGCTACAACAAGTCATTCTTGCTATATCCATCGTGTTCATAGTGGATGTCACAAACCGATGAAACCTGTCTAAAACAGAGAAACTATACTTACAATATAATTATGGGAATACAGTTATAAAAATGGACAAGAAGCAAGGACGGGATTTTTTAAAGCTCAATTTCACTTGCCCGCCTTATTTCTTTTTCTACTGGTCTATGTTAAGAAGTATAAATAAGCATGTTGCTTCGTATATACTAGGAAATCTGACGTTACCGACGTTATATCTGCCACAGTGCAAATTTGGCAAATGCTTTCTTCCTAATACTTAAATCAAACAGTTGTACCTCCAAATAAACCCTTTCAAAATTATATCAAGCGAAAACCAATACTTCACAGTTTTATAATCTTCTATAATTTTACGAAAAAATAGTGGATGAAGCCCGATTTTGATGATTCTTTGTAACGTTTGTTTTGTTAACGTTCAAATTGCGGTCTTATCTTTACAAACACATCGCACTTAGGAACATTTCGCTATTTTTTGGCACATATAAAGAAATAAGAAAACATAAGATATTTAGCCTCTGATGCCCTAAATCGTTTAAGACGGGTATAAAACCAAAATAATGGTGCTTAGCAGAAAAACAGTGCATTTATTTCAAATTTATTTAAAAATCTAGGCTTTTGTGGAAAATTTCGTACTTTATACCAGTCCTATTCAATTCTACACATAAAAATAATTCAAGTTATGTTTGTAGTTTACAAAGGTTATTCTTATACAAAAAGCTCTTCTCATTTTGAGATTGTTCCATCACTATCAAAACAAATTGCGCCGTGTATTTTTATCACGCTTAAGTCGTCTATTTCTATCTTAAAAGTATTATTGCATGTGAAATCAACAGCTTGATATATAATGCATTTTTTTTTACAAAAACCTTATATAGAAATGGTCTACACATGTTTTTTTATTCCTAAATATATATGTAGTGAAGAAAGTAGTAGTATGTGATCAGTTTTATGCAAGTGATCGCAAGTCGAAAACCAAAGGCACTAAGGCGCACACATATTAGGCATTCCCCGCCCACTTGTGACGTCAGCGGAAGTCCATACCAGAAATTGCCCGATGACGCAGCCCAAAAGTAAACGTCATCTCGCCTTATAAGGGGGCACACCCTGTATGAGTCATAGACATCATCTACCCTTATTAGGTGACCACATCTCTCAAACAGGATGGAATAGCGTCATCCCCTAAATTGACGACATGTCTTAATAATAAAACACATGACTCACATATTCGGCATTGTTGTTACGTTCTTTATACAAGAGCATGTCTCCCTTTTTGGAAAATTAAATTCGAAAAAATCAAATTCAAAAACTTCAAAAAATTCCAAAAAATTAAAACATTTTGAAACATTTTAAAAAATTTTAAAATTTTAAATTAAAAAAAAAATTATCAACCAAGATTGCCAGAAAACAAAACTTGTAACTAAACGATAGATGAATTTTACCTGCACGTATCAAGCGTGGATTCTCTTTCGCTTTTTGAAAATAATAACGGTAGCGCATTTAGGATTCAACTTCACAAAAGCTATATATTGGACGGAGAATGGGAATGTGCACTGCTAGAGTTAAATAAATACGGAGAACATAAATTATTTCATTACGATTCACATGCGGTTGGGGAATTGACCCCCTATTTCTGAATCTTTGTTTTTTGTGTTTTAACTTTTGTTTAAAGTAAATATATAGCTCTTAATATTTTAAACTATGTTCATTTCGTTAATGTGATCTATTTATATATGACACCCCTCTATTCTTATTTTCCACGAGGAATAGATATGAATCGAGGGACATCATATATATACTACTGTATTTTTAATATCTTGTGGATAAGAACAAGAACGCATTAAATAAGTGAATATAAGTTAAAATATTAAGGAATATTTACTTAGTAAAAATTAAAATACACCCCCAAAAAAAAAGGGATCCATTTCCTAAGCGCCTGTGTTACGGACGTGATAATCTATACATGCGTATAATATCAATATCACCCAAATAGTTCAGTGGATTATTATAGTCCCTAAGTGGTCTATTCAATCTAATTAAAATATAGATCTCGGATTTCGTTATACTACGTTATACTACATTCGTATGTAGTATAACGTAGTATAACGAAATCCGAGATCTATATTTTAATTAGATTGGGTTTCTAAAAATTTAAATATCAAAGACATGCTTTAAAAAAAACCCCATAAAAATCTCTCTTAAAATGTCAGCGTTCATATGACATTACAAAAAAGATAGGATATAAAATCAACTACCATATATAATAAATTTGAAATTTTGATAATCCATGCATGTTTTTTTGGAAATTTATAGAACGGAAACGGACTTTATTGGAAATACTGGTAACGTCACAGTACCCAAATTGCACTAAGTATCCAAATTACACCCATTAAGGAAAAGAGAGCAATTAAAATATTTCACAGGCATACATTTCTTAAACAATGAACAGTAAGCTGGACTATTGTCAAATTGGTATAAGTATTTGGAGAAATAAAACAAAAAATCATTTTTACGGATGTGAATTTAAGCATGGATGCAATATGGGTACTTCTCATTACAGAATCATGGGTCGTTTGGAGTTCAGGTCAAACCCATTTTTCTATATATGATTCAAAATGGATTCAAAGTTTAATTGATGGAACTGTATTGTAAATAAGGATAATCTAAAAAAATAAACACAGAACGGAAACGTTTGTCTGGATCATAAATAAACGTAGGTGAAAAAACTGTCAAAATAGGTGAAATTTGGGTACCCTCACGTTATATACATAAAGTTATATCATTCGTGGTTCCCACGAAAATTGAGGAAATTAAAGCTAATGAAGAGAAATAATGATGTCATAGTATTGAAAAACTTGCTTTAGATAGCCGAAGGCTTGACTCCATTATCATGCAATACACTACTGCAAAATTCTCTTTAACCGAAAGCCTGACTCTTTAAAAAGCCGAATTTTAAATATGCAAAACTGCACAACAAAGAATACTGTGATAAATGATAATCCATACCTTTCTTTTGATTTCTGAATTTCCTTTTGTTTTTGTTCCTCGAAATATCACCATCAGCTTTGCTTAGATTTGCAAACTGTGCATATTTGCATTAAATCCAATTGACAGACAACGAATTCTTTCTGCACGACCTAACTGACCCAATTCTGCACGAGTGGTATTTTTACTTCCTCATTTTACCTAGTCGTCGGATTTGTAGCCAACCTCCATTTACCCGAACTAGTGAGATTTTCAAAATGGAGTTGTCGAATATGGTTTATCTGGTTTACATGTTAAAAATCACTGCTACAAACAGAAAAAATAGAAAATTATGTTTATTAAGTCTCCCAAACGAAGTTTGGGAAGACTTATTGTTTTTGCTCAGTTCTTCTTCTTCTTCCTCTTCCGCCGCTTTTAAATTTGAACTTGTCCGCACCCGTTCTCCAAAACCGCTTGTCAGATTAATTTAGGGTTTCACAATATGTTAGACTAACATGTCTAGTGGTGCAATCAGGGTTTTGTTTGTGCAATGGGGTTTATAAAGGGGTACTTTGAGGGGCAAAAAGAAAAGAGGGTTTTACTATAGAACCCTATGGGATTTTATTTTTAAAGATTTTCAAATGATTATAAATTGAAAACTGTTTGTGATAGACACAATCTTTTTAATTGAAAATGTTCTAAATGATAAAGCCCATTAAATGAAATACAGGGTTAGTCCCCAGGGGTCACCCCCACCCCCTGCCATTTAAGAAAGTTCTAATACCTTGTAAATGGTCGAGATCCCTACCCCTAAACCATATATATTTTGGTTTGTCATGCTAAGATGGTTTGAATGATATACAGGGTTAGTCCCCAGGGGTCATCCCGACCCCCTGCCATTTGAGAAAGTTCTAATATAATGGTCGAGATCCCTACCCCTAAACCATATATATTCTGGTTTGTCATGATAAAGCACATCAAATGAAATACAGGGTTAGTCCCCAGGGGTCACCCCCACCCCATGCCATTTAAGAAAGTTCTAAAATCTTGTAAGTGGTCAAGATCCCTACCCCTAAACCATATATATTCTGGTTTGTAATGCTAAGATGGTTTGAATGATATACAGGGTTAGTCCCCAGGGGTCATCCCGATCCCCTGCCATTTGAGAAAGTTCTAATATCTTGTAAATGGTCGAGATCCCCACCCCTAAACCATATATATTTTGGTTTGTCATGCTAAGATGGTTAGAATGATATACAGGGTTAGTCCCCAGGGGTCATCCCGACCCCCTGTCATTTGAGAAAGTTCTAATATCTTGTAAATGGTCGAGATCCCCACCCCTAAACCATATATATTCTGGTTTGTCATGATAAAGCACATCAAATGAAATACAGGGTTAGTCGGCAGGGGTCACCCCCACCCCATGCCATTTAAAAAAGTTCTAATATCTTGTAAGTGGTCAAGATCCCCACCCCTAAACCATATATATTCTGGTTTGTCATGCTAAGATGGTTTGAATGATATACAGGGTTAGTCCCAGGGGTCATCCCGACCCCCTGCAATTTGAGAAAGTTCTAATATCTTGTAAATGGTCGAGATCCCAACCCCTAAACCATATATATTCTGGTTTTTCATGCCAAGATGATGTGAATGATATACAGGGTTAGTCCCCAGGCATCACTAATGCATATAACTTTACTAGACCAAACCAATTTTCACTGGACTTTGCCCAATGTCAGGCGACCCTGGGAATTACGAATTATGGGAGCTTCGTTTGGGAGACTTCGTAACAGCATCCTGTTACAATCATTTCTTGTTTATACTTGTTTTTACTACGAACAGAAAGAATACTAAAGTTGAATAAAATATGGCTCGTTAAACTTTGAGCATTATAAGATAAATGCCCAGCTTTATTAGCAAGGATGTAATCCAGATTGAATGTCCTTTTATATTCATAAGATGCATGGTGAAATCTATTAAGAAGTGCTACAAGAGGAATATATTCACATGACGTCTTATGTTCGTATTATACGTGAAAGTTAAAAGATATACATGTACGTGACTGCTTACATTATTTATAAGTGCTTTATATATCTTGTTACATAATTATTTACATACTAAGTGTTTAACATGGGATATTTACGCAAATAAAGTGCACAACTGCATGATACGGAGGATGACTTTAAATTTCGCCGTACAACCGACATGAACACCACCAATTATTCACCGCTGTTGTCATGTAGCCCATGAGAGGTATATAGTGTTGAATTTTTTACAACGTCTTGAATGAAGAAGGCTGTTGGTTCATATTTCTAAAATACGATAAAACACAACTATAAAGGATACAACACATTCCCTCGGCATTGTATACTGGTGATTTGACATGTTTTGCACAGAATATTTATGTTAGTACTTTTTTTCAATTTGCATTTGCTTGATATTGACAATACAACCGGTAATACTAAAGACAATTGGTCTCAAACATTACCAAGACTGATTTTTTAAGCAATTAATGTCTTAAGAATTAAACTTTACCAGGTACCCCTTGATGACAATGTTCAAAACTAACTTCGCGTTCGCAATATTTTTTATCACACAAATTATCTTCAATGAGGGAAATCTAAGATTTGGTTTATCGCCGACTTCGGTTGATCTCTTAAAAAACGTATCGCATCATGTATGTTTCATATCATCAAACGCTTTACACTTTCCTGTTTTTGATCTACTGTTTCCCCTTTTCTTTAATTTTCACAGAGACTATATAAAATATAATAAATCACCATTAGATAAGTAAAATGTAACCATTTGTGATTATGCAACCTTGGGATAACTCAATAGTAAATAGTTACTTGTCGTCCTAGTCATAGGTGTGAGGTATCTGTATCGATTAGTTTTCGACCATGACATTTTTGCTTACAGGTTACCTTCAGATATGAAAAATCCAAAACAGAATGTTGAAAATAATTCGCATGATTGACTTATCAATTCTACATTTGCTTAAATCATATAAATTTCCCAATTAAAATCTCAATCAATATTTACAATCAACGTTATTAAATAATATGTCTATGTATGTATTGACTTGTGACGATTGAAGGCTTTCTCATTCAAAACCTAGACAGATTAACGGGATTTTATATTCTAAATTGCAACAAATATTAAAATTTCATTGTGTTAATTCACTAAGTGGGGACAAATTTCATTTCTCTATGTTGGATTATTATGGCCTTCTTCACTACAGTACATTATTTGCGGAATTGTATTTTGCTAGTGCAGTAAAATGTAAAATTTTTAATTAGAGGCTGACTTCATACAGGAGCTTCTTAGAAAGAATGAAAAAAAGCTAGCATTATCCTTTAACTTCACTTTCCGCTATAAAGATGGTGTTCTCTCATTAAATATTTCAAAGTTTGGTAACTATGTTGAGCGCATCTATCCTATCGAACTTGAAATAAAGGATACAACAAATACAGTTAAGTGTAGCTCATATCTTGACTTACATTTAGAAATTGACAATGAGGGTCGGTTGAGAACAAAACTTTACGACAAAAGAGATGATTTCAGCTTTCCAATTGTGAACTATCTATTTTTATGTAGCAACATTTCAGCAGCGCCTGGAGTATATATCTCCCAGTTGATACGATTATCCAGGGCTTGCGTTTCCTTCATGATTTCCTTGATAGAGGGTTGCTGCTCACAAGGAAGCTATTAAACCAACAGTTCCAAGTGGTGAATTTGAAGTCATCCCTTCGAAAATTTTACGGACGCCATCACGCGCTGGTTGACCGTTATGGAATATCTATTTCACAGATGACGACGGATATGTTCCAATCGTCGTCAACACAATTCCGTCATCCTTTCCCCCGAATGTTACCTACCGAATTAGAATTATCACCGGGTTTGTACTTGCATGAACGACACGACAGATGCCATACGTGGAGTAGGATCTGCTTACCCTTCCGGAGCACCTGAGATCACCCCCGGTTTTTGGTGGAGTTCGTGTTGTTCAGTCTTAAGTTTTCTATGTTGTGTTTTGTGTGCTGTTGTATGTCTTTTGGTCTTTTTTCTTTTTTTGCCCTGGCGTTGTAAGTTTATTTTCGGCTTATGAGTTTGAATGTTCCTTTGGTACTTGCCTCTCTTTAAAGATCTTAGTACTTCAAGTGACAATCTTATAAAAACAACGTCATGATTTCAACTTTCCATTTGTAAGCAGTACCATACCCTCTGTCCCAACGTAAGGTTTTAACATATATCAATTGATACGTAACGCTCGTGTATGTTCACAACATACGAACCTCATTAGCAGGGTTGTGCCCCTTACACAAAAACAGTTCCAATTGGGTTATGAGAACGAACGACTGGAGCTACATAAGTTTTACGGTCACCATCACGAATTGGTTGATCGTTACGATATGTATATGCCCCAACTCACTTGCAGCGTGTTTTCGCAGCTTTAGATATTTGGATACAAGAGAATAGTAATTCAACCGATTGTTTCCTATTCCCGATTGTGACATTTTGATTGAGTGTGCATTGGCATAGCGGGTCATGCATCAATAGGAAGAGATGCTTACCCTGTCGACCCCACACGATGTCGGTCCTTTAGGAGTTCATGCGATTCCATCAGTTTTTGCTTGTTATCTTGACTTGTCTCTTTAATCGATTTATTAGATTTGAACATATGTAAACTACTGTTGCCTTTAGTAAAAAGATTAAATGATACCGTGTTTATACCAAGGCAGTTATCATGTTAAACATCAACTATTCATTTACAGACATTAGCAGAGAGAATATGTGATACTTATCACATTTACATGTATGTATTCAATTTAATGTCTTTACAAAAGAAATGACTTTTATACACCAATGTGCTATAAGGTTATCAAATACTGTGTATGTAATGTGCATTTAAATAAGCTATACTAAGTGCATGGATTTTTGCGCAAACATCAAATGCGACTTGCCATGAATTTTTATTTGTCACGAGAAACTACGTTTCAACTAGTGGAGCAGGAACTGATCATCATTTCGGAACATCTGAGTTTATTCTTGTTTGTATTGCCAAATTCTTACTTTTTATAATCATCACTGAAAAGAGATTAATTATAGAAATTTTAATGTCCCAGATAACCACACATTATCCACCAAAAGAGCACCTTAGTTAAACCCCGGTTTTGTGTTGCACAATTTTTAGTTTTATGTGAAACGATTTCTCTGAACTGTTTTAGTCTTTTAATGTTTGCAGTACCCAATGTGTTGCCTGTATTTCTTCGAGTAACAAATTTGAATTTCACTCCCTTCTCTATTGTCTTACTCTATTTAATAAAAAACCTTCAGTAAGCAAAATACTCAAGTTTATTTTTACAAATACGGTTAGGGGGAAATAGAACTGAAACAGTACAGTATATGTCATATGCCATGTGAACTCTCCTTTATATCTCATTATGCTACAATCTTTATCTTGAATATATGACAGTCACATATTTTATCTTTCAAATTAACAGAAAGGGATTCATCTGAAATTGTCCCTTTTTTCTTTCTTCTTGCTTCTCAACAATATTCTTCTTCCTTAAACGACGTAAAGGTTAGTATGAATATCATAATGCCATGAAATTGAATTACAATTAGTAGAAATCTTTTATTTGATCTGTAATTATAGACAAGATTAGACTAACATTATCTGCAATCCATCGATACATAGTTTTGAACGCAAAGATTAACAATTTTACTTTACATTTTTGTGATGGTAAAAGTTTATTCAAATTGTTTGAAATGAATCTTCGCTTATTAATGATTGTCGATTACTTCGCTCTTCTTTGTCTTGCTGTTCTGGATCTGAAATATATAACGCAATTTTCATCAAATTCTGCCCATCGTAGGCAGATAAGACAGCTACTAAAGTGAACATACATGACATATCTTAACGTTTGCTGTGATTTATGAATTTCAGTATAGACTTATAAACCCAACGCACTAAGCATGTACATACATTCTCTAAAGAAATATTATGGAAAGCATATTAACTTTGCTTTAAAATCCGATGCTCTAAGATATTTGAAATTCATATAATGAACCCTTTTTTCATAAAAAAAAAGTTTTTTGGTATAAGAGCTCGAGCGAATTTGTTCAATCATATTAAATATTTGCTCTATTTAACCAAAAAAAAAACAACCAATAACAAATTTGAAACACGAAATTATTTGGTGCCAACAAAAGTAATTTATGATTCTTTTCCGTTGTGAATTTCAATAATTGAATTATCTTTTAAACTAATACATGGTCAATTTATATCAGACAAGAAAAACTTTAAATACATCTAAAAACCAAAAAGTACAAAATATAAAATGCACTCAATGAGGCGAAGTATTAAAATTTAAATATTGAATAAAATATGATGATTGTTTTTGTTTGTAAAAGTTCACACTATCTTCATTCAATTTAAATATTGAATACAAAAATATATTAATAAAAACTAAACATTGTCCGAATTTATGATGTTGCTGCTATTTTGTATTGACAACGAGCAACACCTTGCTAATGCCTTTTTGACCACTTTAGAACTACCATACTTAAGCATACAGATAAAAATTAGTATATTAAGACATATAGTCATAATGGAACTAACTTTATAATCAGCGCAGTTTTTGATTTCAAGGCTACATTTGTACTTATTACAAACATATTTATTGTGTTGCGTAAGTATAGTCCTCAGTGAATCATATTTTGACGTTTTTCATTTGTAGTTAAAAGTTTGTTTACTCTTAATGTTAATTTCATTCAAAATAAAGGGTATGTCTGCTCCTACTTACTACTAGCAGTAAATATCTATACTCACTATCAACTATTACAGTTAGGTTTTTTGCAGTTTGCATTTTTCTTTTAACAGCAAGCAGAATAATGGGTATAAATAAGCTTGTAACAACACCTCCACTGATTGCAATGATACTGTTCACATCTAAGAATAAAGTAAAAATGTGGTTCATAGTACTTTGATGTTTTTTTTGTGTATAATTAATGGGGATTCGACGCTAGGAGAATGATGCCATGCATTAATATGTTTTTTCTAGTTGCAACAGCATAGTGAACGCAGAATTTTTTGCCAAACAGAGTCTAACTATGTGGGTTTAAGCAATAATAGGACACTGTACGACAATGAGCAAAATCCCTATAGTACGATATAAAAGGCCCCGACATAACATAATAATAAACAGTATAAACTATAAAAACCAACGGCCCGATTGATGAAAAAACAACAAACAAAAAACAAATATAACAGCAACCAACGACAACATCTGACCTTTAAGCTCCTGACTTGGGGCATGCAAATACAGAATGTGGTGGGGTTAAACATATTTATAAGCGCAAAGTAGTGTAACAGCACAACATAAAATCAAACTGTAAAGATCAGTTTGATATGGTTTGACTCATCAGATTAGCACGAAGCGCAAACGCCACTGACACATCCAAGAGATATAATGTAAAAATGCCATAAACAGTATGTGAAAAGCATGACATTATGTAATGCTTAACTATAAATACATAATATCGACAGGATAAAATACCATACGTTTTATATTAAATATATAGCAATACATATTTAGTAATGTTTTAATCTATTAAAAACAAAATCAATGTTAACACCGATAAAAATAATATTCATAGATCTTACTGTGATGTTAAAATAATAAACGGGTTTAAATACAAGTGTATCCAAAGGATCAATAAGTTTACATGGATCGTATGTAAATTAACATGTTTTATAAGTTAATCTGACAGAAAGTCACAAATTTGATAGGACAAAAAGGCACAAATAATTTGTATATGATTATTTGAATATATAGGAGAAATTTCTTGAAACAATTTCTTTTTATATCATATATTAATTCTACAGCTTAGGAAATTGTTCAGAGGCCTTGATAAATGAAGATTTATCATATTTAAATCAGACAAAGGATATATTTATTGGCACCATAATAGAAAAACAAAGGATATGGGGTATCCATCCATGACATAAAATCAGTAAATGCACAGCCAAAACACACAAAAAGCAAAGGAACAGCGCTTTGATTGCTGTTCTTCATCTCACAGTCACAGTGAGGCATTCAACACGGAGCAAAAAAACTGTCACCTCACTACAAGTATAAGATGGCCCCTAGCACCGGCTTGAGCTGAATTTTTTGCACAAATGATTTGGATAGACTTTGAAAGATGTAACACCACCAAATCGGGTACGGTCTAAAAAGAACAAACTGGAAAATAGTAATATCTAAAGCCATTTAAGTACCAAGCCACTTTGACAGATTGTTTTTTTTTACAATTGTTTGATCATTATTGATTTTTAAAGGATACATTTTGTTGACAAAGTGGCTTTACATATAATAGTTCAAGAAAATTCAAAAATGTTTTTAGAAATAAGTGTTTTCTTTTTCAAATAAAAATTATCTGAAAACTGAATTGTGACTATTTGTCCTGTTACTTTTTGTCCTGTTACTTTTTGTCCGTGACTTTTTGTCCGTGACTTTTTGTCGTTTGGCTTTCTGTCCTATATTCGTAAATAATCGTCATATTTACGTTATATAAATGTCATATGTTCAATGAAAGTATATAACGTTCATATAATTATTATTCGTTAATCCGAATTCCTTTGAAATAAAGTAATTTAACAATTTGATAAATCTATCATGGGCCGTGTCAACGAAGCTGTCTTAGGACTAGAACGTGTCTTAGGATGACATTAGGACACGTCTTGGTCCTAAGTCAGGTTAACGAAAGTCTCCTTAGATAAGATATGTCATAAATTTGGTCCTTAAGTTAGGATATATACATAGGTGTCTTAGGATAGTTCTAAAAGTTACCAAGTCCTAAGTCGAAAGAAAACAACAAATATGGCCTTCACTATTTAAACTGTACACGTATACCAACAACAAAATTATTTGCATTTACTTGTGTTTAAATTAATTGCAAATGGCTGATATTTTTGTTCAAGCATATTGTTTTTCTTAAATTGTTTAACATTTCACAGCGGTATAACATGTTGCTTTAATTATTCTTCCCTTAGTATTTATTTTGTATTTACATTGTATCATAGATCAAATTTATTTGTTCAGTGTATGTTCACTGGTGTTAATATGTCTTTTGATTGAGTAAAGCGATTTCAATTGATATTTTATAGTGTGTCTTTCTATGTTGTGATGTTACACTATTGTTTCAAATAAGGGTGGATGTTTGGTACCATTAAAACGATTAAACCCGCTGCAATTGTTTGCACCTGTCCTAAGTCAGGAATCTGCTGTTCAGTAGTTGTCGTTTGCTGATGTGGTTCATAAGTGTTTCTCGTTTCTCGTTTTTTATATAGATTAGACCGTTGGTTTTCCCGTTTGAATGGTTTTACACTAGTAATTTTTGGGGCCCTTTATAGCTTGCTGTTCGGTGTGAGCCAAGGCTCCGTGTTGAAGACCGTACTTTGACCTATAATGGTTTACTTTTATAAATTTTGACTTGGATGGAGAGTTGTCTCATTGGCACTCATACCACATCTTCTTATATCTATTCAGTCAATATTTGAAGAATTTATCTTGTGTAGACTAGCCCATATCTTCTCCTTAATATCAATCGTCGCCACATTTGATAGCTTCCTAAATAAAATTCCCCTATGCTTATTTACTTCGGCTAGCAGAATTTAATAATAATAATAAGTTCCTTTATTTCAGCAGAATAACATATTTAGTCAAAATACAAGTTTACAACAAGGTCCTGCATAATATACTATCATGTATGTTACAACATAATAGTATACAATTCAATAATGAAATTTCTTATACAAATATTAAAGGGGCTTAGCTACGATTTATGCCAAAAAATTAAATACGATCCTCTTTGTTTCAAGTATTAATAAAAGCTGAATTTTGAAATAACGTTTTGTTATAAGCAGTCAGTTTGACCCAAATTTGTCAAAATAAGCTCAAAAACATCGCTGATGTATTATTGACTTGCTACCATTTAGGCAAAAATTAAAAATACGATTCTTCTGTTTCAAGTATTAATAAAAGCGAAATTTGAAATCTTTTGTTATATGCAGTCTGTCTGGTCCAAGTTTGTCAAAATAAGCTTTAAAATATCGCTGATGTATTATCCACTTGCAAGTCAATGATTTAACCTCAGTTGAATCCGTATTCACGTGATCTTCAATTTTACCCCTTACCTGATGTCGGATTACGAATGTACTAAGCGAATGTCAACATTGAAAGTGAAACAAGGGTTAACCATTTCGTTAGTTTAGTTTAAACATATTTTATTTGCTAAATATCAGCAAAATGGATGAGACACAAGTAAATCATACTGATGAAGTCTTCAACCATTTCGTTGACTGATTCAATCCACAAAATATTATTCTTATACAGGTAGAAACGAGGATTAACATATCTTTTTAATCTGAAACATGAAATCAAACAAACCTAGAAAAATCCAATTGTAATTTGGATATACTTTTTAGTATGACTGTTATAAATAAAAAATGAGATGTTGAGTCAAATCGGTAAACTTGAAATTGACAGCTAATTCCCCTTTGAACTATTATACTGTTATTATTAACATACTCTATAACAATTAAAAACCAATTGTTCAGAGAACAATTGAAGGTCTTTCCACCCATAAAGATCTATTTTGATATGAAAAATATTAAAATTTGGTTTAAAATGTCATTTCTAGCGTCAAATGATAGCTTATTGTACGCTGATTCCAAAAATATATGGTTTCTATACATTTTTTTTTAAATAAGGGAGATAATTTGTCACTTCCGGTTTGAAAAATGTTACTTCCGGTCTAATTTGAATGTTTACTTGACACTGATTCCAAAAATATATGGTTCTATATGTTTTTATATTAAATAAGTACAAAAATAGCTACTTCCGGTTTACACAAGGTCATTTCCGGTTGGATTTTCCAAGGTCAAATGGCTTGCAACCTAATGCAAAAAGTCCCATGGCTTTATCATGTATACATATGAGGTAAAAGCAAAGGTCAAAATCTAGAACGTCAAATTTACCTATGACCTTGAGCTCAATTTCAAGGTCATTAACCAAGGACCTCAAATCAAAAGACCCTAGGTATTAATTATATAGGGTTAATGAGTTATATCACCATACGCGTATTTTTAAATACAAGAGGGGAGAAAACTCTAATTTAATGTAAGCACACCCTTTAAATCAAAATATAAAATTGAGAATGGAAATGGGGAATGTGTCAAAGAGACAACAACCCGACCATAGAACAGACAACAACCCGACCATAGAACAGACAACAGCAGAAGGTCACCAACAGGTCTTCAATGCAGCGAGAAATTCCCGCACCCGGAGGCGTCCTTCAGCTGGCACCCTTTAAATCAAAATGTATGTGTTACAACATGTTGCAACTAACAATTTAGTAGTAATATGTTGTCGATATCTTATACGGTTTTTGAAAAGAAGTGAAAATAAGCTAAAATCAAAATTTAGAATATGACCTTGACCTTTGACCTTGACCAAATTTTCTTTTTTAGAAATGCATATCACTTATATCAAATGCATAAGGGGAAATAACTCTCATATGGAGTCTCCAGTCTTCGGTGAAAACCAAACTCAACATCCTGAAGATATAGCGAGCAATTTGATAAAATAAATTTGTCGTAATCTTTTACGTGTGCGAAGTAGTGGCCACAAGAAAAACAGTGTTAGGGGAGATAACTCTTACAACGTAAAGTATTCGGTTAAGCGGTTGTCAGTTTCAAAAGCGTATAAACTGTTCGATATCAAATACCAAATATCTAAGCGACATCTTGTGAAATAACAATACTACGCCAAAAAAAAAAATTAGGCGGAAGAAAAAAAAAATAATAATAATAATAATCAGAACAAAATCAAAAGGTCTTTCAACGGAAAGGTGGAAAGACCTAATAAGTTATATATTCAGTTCATGGGG